GAGAGAGAGAGAGATGCAGAGCGTGTGCAGAGCAGGGCGAGGCCAGGAACAGGATGAGAACGCTGCTTTAGAACATTGATTTTGAAACTTGTGAATCCATTAGAATCGTTTGAAGACAGAATCGCGATTCATATATGAATAAATTTTTAAGTGCACCTATAGTTTTCTCTTCCTCTTCTCTAAAGCAGTGCAGCATGGCCTCGCCCCCTTTGCTGCGTGTTCCCGGAGGCGGGGTTTATGTAAAATTCTGGGTTCTTGACGTAACGGACCCGGGAAGTAACTCGTTGTAGTCCCTTACCAGTCGTTTTTGTAGGCATTAAACTGCCAGAATTTTAAAAGATGATATCTCCGTTTGCATTGAACTTTCAGCTTCGTAACATTGCAAATATTGTTTATGATCAAACAGCAACATTACACGCTAACTAACATTAAAAAAGTGAAATCGCAATCAACCACCCCTTTAACTGACGGAAATGGACATACCTCCACAGATGTTCTTCAAGGAGTCAATGTTTTCACTAAGATGCAGCAAAATAAAGGTTGATATTTCTCCTGGTACCGAATGCAACCAAAATAGTTGAAGAGTCACATAAATTTGTTAGAGATAATTCAAATTGATCTAATTTATCAAATGTATGTTTCTTTAGAGGTTGCAACTGAGGTTTCAAGAAAATGTTTGTGTCTTGCATGACAATGAAGCATGAAACAGCTGGTTGGATTGTACTAGCACTCTTTTGATGGTATTTGTGAATTTGTTATCTCTATAAAGAACAGCAACTGAAACGTACAGGTAGGCGAATAGTGTTGATATGGAGTTTAGCCAATGCACAACATGAAGATGTTGTCATATTAGGATGCTTCAATCTGGGGTAAATGATCATTTCTAACCCAGTGATCCTGTCCTTTCTACTGATCAAGCATTCACTGTAGCCTATCAGAAAGGATGTACAGTCAATTCACTCAGAAATTAAAATTCTATCATTATTTACATGTTGTTTCCAAACATGTATGATTTTCTTTATTCTGTGGAACAACATGGTTTACCAAACTACTATTTTGCTACAAATATCAATACGGAATTTTCATGATTACTGATTCAGACAATATTGGGATGTTGTTAAAAAGGCTGAGGAAAAACAAAGATATGTTTTGTAAAACAAAAATGAACCTAACCTCCTCTGAGAAAATGAGTCTCATCCAAACAGGGCTAAAGTCAGAGGGCTGTGACTGTGTATCAAATCTACAACAAGAGACTGGCCGGGATACATTTAGAGTGACTAAGCCCACCCATTGGTCTGTGACTAAGTCCATTATACAAAATGAAAAGCACAGAAACGGAACATGCTGTAATGAGGTGGATGACAAATCACTGAAACATTCTTGAGTTTTTCCATTTGCTTCTTTTCCATTTGCATACACAGATTTGTCACAACTATGAGTGGATTAGTAGTCTTGTAGTTCAGCCAGCAACAAGCAAAACCTAATGTCAGAGGTTGCCAATTACCAATATCTCAAAACTGCATTTCTGAATGAGTGAAAATAATTTATCCATAAACTATAATAAAAAGTCAGCTTTTAGCATTGAATTGTGCATTATCCCAGTGAGGTGATTCAGATTCAGACACCAGATCTCCTCCTCGGAGCAGCACATCTGAAACACCAGAAGCCAGCTCAGAGAGACTATAACCAGGAATAATGAACAACACCGTTGTTGTCATGCTCAATATTTCTCAACATTCATTATGACTTAATAAACCTAACTGTGTTGACTGGCCAGACAAGCTGCTTTCAAAGCTTCCTGTGAAACGAGAAGTCAGGGCTGAATTAAGCTCGCATCTAAAAACAGGTTCATCTGCAAAATGAATCCACAGAGATGTAGGTACGAGGTGTGCTGATGACTGCATATTTAGACAGCGAACTGTAAATGTTTTTTCTTACCGAGACACTATGTGAAATGCCAATAAGTTTAAAAACAGACACAGCAACTACCAAGAAAAACTAGCAATACCCCAAAATACTGTAGAAAAAGCCCCAGGAACTCAGAAGTGGCCGACAGTGACATCTTTAATTGCGGCATTTACATACATATACATATATATATATATATATATATATATATATATATATATATATATATATATATACATCTATATGCCGCAATTAAAGATGTCACTGTCGGCCACTTCAGAGTTCCTGCTGCTGGTGTGAATGCAACCAAGAGAATGGTCTGAAGGGAAAATTGGTTTCTAAACCACCCTGCTGGCTAGTTCCCAGAACTGTGTTCTTAGAACTACACGGTGCAAAAGCCTCTTCTGATGTAGTTGCTAATTTAAGGGGCTTTCGCACCGGAGGAACATTTTCATAGTTCCTAGAACTATTGGCAGAAGTTCCCGCTTTTTGGCACGTTCGCACAGCAGGTATTAGGAACATAATTAGCTCTAGGAACTCCGTTTGGGGGAACTAAATTAGCTCCTGCTTCAGAGTAGGGTCTAAAACAGCTCTATAGGAACTGTAGGATATCAGACCGAATCAGACAATCTAAGATTTGGTCAAAACCGAGTTGAGGCACGAGGAGTCACAAAAATTCCACAGAGGCCCAAGACAACAGGATGTCATAAATCAGACCCTAGCCCTTCTGAAGCAAGCCTAAACCTAAACCCCTGTCACAGAACAGTTTTCAACATTAACACAAAAGAACACATTGACAAGTCCAAGGAGATTGTCAATTTTGGGGCAAGTTATCAAGAATAATGGTC